GATTGAACAGTATGAGAATTTAGTTACATGCAGTGTTCTCATAGGTTGAGCAATCAGTCAATTAGATCCTCATGGGGCTGCCTCTAGGCTTTAAAAAGAGTTCCAGCAAAACCTCTAGGGAGTTAGGTTGATGACTGACAATGGGACATCCATCCATTGATGAGACTCAGATGTGGTGAAGCCTGTCACAAGTGGTGGAGAATGTATAGTACATGTAGGCATGTGAACATGCTCTTTGATGAAAGCAAAAGCAATCCCAAGATGAAAGAAAGGGTGTGAGTCTTAGAAAGTCGCAGTGCTTTCTTAATTACATGAAACAAATACTAAAGTGCTGGAACACAGGTGGGGTGAAAGCTCAAACTGAAAAATCTGTCTCTGTCTTTTAGCAGTACCTCCCTTGAGGCTGTGCTGTCGGCTATTTAAAGGATAGTGGCTATCCCGCCTCTCTATCCCCTAGCAGCACTGTGACTGATTGCCAGCCAATGAGAATTAGGCACGCACCTACATTCTCACACCAGTCAATCAGGAAGCCTGTGCAAGCTAGTACACTGTACGTCTTCACTAAGGACATGGAATCACTAAGACTGCCATAGAAATGCCCAGTTCAAATCTTTGTATGCATTTTGTATCGTCAAATGAAAAAGCTGACAAACCTGACATACTTTAAATACACTGCCAAAGAATAGCCCTTTCATTTGCTATTTCTTTATTGAACAGAGTGCCATTAAAATGTCTTGTTTGAAAAATATTATATCGCAAAACTAATAGGGTATTTGGCTGCTTTTAAACCATTCCAACAACAAAACATCCTGAAGAAAGTTTTGACCTTTTAAGTTGTATCACTAAAGATCATCTCCAAGCAAAAAAAAAGGACATGCTGCTTTTGACTTCTTTTAATTCATTCATTTCTTCTTTTAATTGTTTTCTTCAGCATTACAATGATGCTTGGTGATGAGAGATAGAATTTGACAAGAAAGAAAATTGATTTTCTGGAGTGAGATTTCGGAATGATAAGGTAGCTGTGTGAAGGTGAAAAGTCTATGAAAACTCATTAAAGGAGGAGTTTATTTCATGTGCATATTTTACTTCATTTTGTGTACAGTAACTTATCCTTTTGCATACTGTTGGCTTATTTCTTGGTATTGCATATGTTTATGACATTATTTGCAATTTTAATCATTTCAGCAAAAATGTATCATCTGGAACCTTTCTGAAGGCTGATTGAAGAAATGTAACAGAATAGCTGCTGGTATTGTATTTCAGGATCCCATGTTTAGAAATGAATTCTCTTGTGACGCTCTTGGGTGGAAGCATTGTCAGAATATAGTAAAATAGCTAATAGCTATTAGCTAAAATAGCTAAGGGCCTCAGAGCCAAGCAATAGATTTGACAAAATGTATCATTCAATTGCTGCAGAGTTCATTACAAATTAGCAAAGCTCATCCCTAAGTATACAGTTGTGATATTTTTCTTAATTCAGGCTGAGCTTCAATGTCATGCAGCAACCTTAATCACTTCTGTTTTAGTGAAATTAAATGATGTGCTTATAATGAAGAAAATACTAGTAAAAGAACTAAAATGAACTGCAAATTCTTAACAGCAAATTTAATGTTACTTTATGATTACTGCTTCATGGACATTTTTATACAGACATGCTGCGATGGAATTGCAGTAAGGATTGAGCTGTGATCTTACTTTATACAGTATATGCTGAGCACAGCAACAGATACAAACATATATTTCCATCAGCATTTGTGAAGTTCTTTACATATGCAAGTGAACTACATAAGTCCAATTGAAAAGTATTATTCACTTAGATCCATATAACACTTTTCTTCAGTTTTTGGTAAGTTAATGCATATATTTATTAAATGTGCAGAAACACAAAAAAATAAAAACATATTTGAAAATGTTTGCTGCAATAAAAATAAAAGCAATCAAGTATTGGTAGTAACGTTTTTTCAAGTGTATTAGAGATTTAGATTAAAAGAAGTCCATTTTTACCAATGTGTTATCTATTTGGTGGTTTGTAAACTGCAAAACACCTTTGAATAACCTGACCCCATGAAAAGCTTCACTCAATAACTATTGCTGTTTCCATAAATAAAGTAATTAGAATGAAACCTGAGCATTACAAACTTCCTTCTGCATCTTCAGTTGTTCTGAATTGAATAAAATATCCTTTTGTACAGCACACTTCCTGTTTCCGACTAAGCCAAATGAATAACCTCTTTTTTCCAACTGAATATTTTATAAAACTCACAGGAAATAGCCACCTAGTTTCCTTGGTAACCATCTATACAAGGACCTTTTTCCTCCATGTATCTGAATCCAAAGTATATTGTTATATCTGTTTGTAAAAGAAAAAAAGTTTTTTCTGGGAGGGACAAACTATTTGTATTGAATATTTACATACAGTAGTTGATACTTTTAGAGATCTCGGAATGTATGAGGAGGAGCTCCGAGTCTTCACTGCAAGTGAGTCATCTGCCCTTGTCTGATGCTATCAGGCTGGTGTCGTCAAGAGCACTTAAGCCTAGCATCCACAAGTCCCTATGGACATCTGATGGGAACCATACAGAATACCACATACAGTACAAGTTACTGGTTTCCTCAGAGGCTGGATCTCGAGGACAAGATTTTGCCTGTTTTAGTCTTTGAAAAAGAGAAATGCAGGCCGTGGTAGAGTGGAAAGCATAAATGTACCACTGCTGTCCTTCTATAGGTTAGTGGTAATTGTATAACTAGTATTACAGTACATACTGTACTATACAGTAGTATTACATGACTACATATCTAAAAAGGATTAAAAATACAAAGATTGAAAATGTTATATAATACCCAAATCTAGTATTCTATATAAAGTTAATGTGGAAACAAGTTCTGATTTCTTAAACTGGAGGATGATACATACTGTAGGGGATCAATACCAAAATACACATAGCCTACGCTACTGTCTTTGGTACAGGAGCCTTCGAACCAGCTGTATAATCTCTTGAATTCTACAAAACCAGCTAAGCTACACTTGAACATATAGAAGGTACACATAGTTCAGGCGGGTAGCTGCGTCAGCATGCGTAGGCTGCAAAGGAACAAGTAAAAGGTTTATTCCATGCTGAAAAAAAGAAGAAAGAGAACACAATGTTTCGGCCGTGGAGCCTTCTTCAGGTGGCTGAAGAAGGCTGAAGAAGGCTCCACGGCCGAAACGTTGTGTTCTCTTTCTTCTTTTTTTCAGCATGGAATAAACCTATTACTTGTTCCGAAGGTACACATATACCAAAAATAGACCTGTGTGGACAATGATAAATATATAGAATGGGGCTTCTCAACTTGTGGCCCTTCCAATTTTTTCCATTCCTGTACATTAATTGCTATGTTGAGCCTGCTGATTATCAATTACACAATTGTTGTAGCCAAATTCTGGAAGCTGACTAGAAAAGCTGAGAAGATAAGGAGCTCTAGTACAGAACGCAAGTATAAATCACAAACAATGCAATCACATTATTTTTTCAAGTATGTTATCTACCTAAATAGTTTAATTGGTAACATAAATTAGAAATCCTGCCCAAACAAAAGATGCAGGAAATACAGTGAAATATACAGTATACATAAAAAATGAGCATGTGAAAATTATCGAAACGTTTACCACAACTGAGCAAAATAAGTGAAGTCTTGTTACCGACTTTGGTTTGACATATATTTGTGATGAAATAATCCAGTATTCTAAATCAAGATCTTCAGTCCCATAAATAGTAGTAAAGAATTAGTCACTCAAAAAACAGGAGTGAGATTAACCCAAGACAGGAGGCTCTGCAGTGCAAATGTATAAACTTTTTTTTCTGTCACTTACTGAAACAGATTTCAGTTATGAAACAGATTTCAGTAAGAAGAATGCTAGTGTTTCCTGTATTTTCATGAAACACTCTGTTACCAGTCCTGCAGCTGCAAATTCTTCAAGATGGAAGATTAAATTAAAACATTTTTTTTAACCTTTTGGGGGGGGTTTTCCGGCAAAAAAAGGCAATTTAACCCCAAAAGACCAAAAAAAAAGCAAAAAAATTGCAAAAAAAAATCAAGCAAACCAAAAGGAGAATGAGTTAACCGTGTTTTCAGAAAAAATAATTTAAATGTTTTTTAAAAGACATTGTTGTACAGTAAATTCTACATTATTGTTCATTGTTCAATGAAAGCTAAGTCTTAAAACTTTGATTTGTGCTGTGTACTGTATTTTGTAGAATAGTGATAGGGGTAAGTACAGTATATGTTTATGAAGTACAGGTGGATATTATGAACATTTTGTTCCTTTGATTTCATTTTAAAGAGATTGGATAGGACTTTTTAAAGATATTAAGATAATTTATATTTATATTTTTTTTAAGTGCAATGAAACATTTTATGGACTACAGCTCACATAATTTTGACTACACTGCAGTTTATGTCTTACATGAATTTTGCTTCTGAAAGAGAATGAATTTGTTTCAGATTGGAATCTATTAGTTTGGGTTTTTACCTGTAAGCAATTCCTTTCTCTACATAATTCAGAGTATTATACATATATAAATGTATTAAAACAATTTCTTCTCTTGCCATTTATTTCTCTGCTATGGGAAGAAGCAGAAACATTTCATTATTTTGTTGTGTGCTTGGGATAACTTTTGGTAATTTCTAATAATCTCTTGAGGTCTGGTGATTTGTTGTTAGAATATTTTTTTTAAAGAAGTACTTATTCAATGCCCAACCATTGAAATGCCTTACTAAATACCAATGGATTCCTGGGCATCAATGTTTCAGACAGTTGTGCTTACTAATTGATACACATTTTCTTTTGCCTTAATAAATTGAAGTACTTGAAGAAGATATAATAAAATATCTGGAATAGCAATGAGTCCCTGTGGAGGTGGCATAATTGGATAAACAGTGTCTGGTGTTCTGCTCTGTGCTGACAGATTCCGATTTAAAAGTACAGTAGTAATTGTTGTGTGTTTTTATTTTCTCTTAAGCCATGAACCTGCTAGGACTGAACTGGCAGCTGCAGCCGGCTGATGGTCATGTGATCAACAACGGATTGAGCACAGGGTTACCAGGCAACAGTGATGTAGCAACAGTGCCATCTGGAGGCAGAGGTAATGATGATGAGGCTCAGATCCTGCAGTGTTTTTGCATCCTTCTCTGCCCCTTTGGTCATTTTCATTCTTGCAACTACATTTAGGCACAGCGCTGTACTGTGTTTTTCCCCAGTCATCCTCAGCTCCATGCCTTGATCACCTTGAATGTTTCCATCTAGGGTTGTGTTTCAGGCATTCAGATTTTAGGAAGGAAAGCTCTGAGGTATGCTTCAGATATCCCATTGTTGCTTTCCAGCACTGCTCCTTCTTTTTGTACCGCTCAGCGTTTGTTTGTGTTTTTTATCCTGAAATCAGCACAATTTTAATGCCACATTAGATTAAGAGGCTTTGTATGCTCGAAGCGTCAAAGGGTTCATTGCTTCAGTGCATTTCCGCCATGATGGCTTACTAAGGTAATTGTACCCATAGTTCCAGAAGAGAGGTTACAAATGAGAAGAAACCAGTCAGCCCATCATTCAATTTTATCCACTCATTTATTAAAAAAGCCATGATACTTGCTTCAACAGTTGGGTTGTTCCATACTTCCACATTCTCTTTGTGCAGAGAAGTGCCTCTTATTCTTCGTTTTACACACACTTCTGCCTGGTTCCCATTTCTGCCTTCTAGTTCATGTTTCTCTGTGGATTCTGAAGATATCTACAGTTTAACTTTGTCAATACCCACAAGGATTGTGAATACTTGAATCAGGGCCCTCAAAGTCTTCTCTTATTCAACAGTAAAAATGTTCAGTTCAGAACTAAATGAGATGGAAGCAACATATTCAAATTGTGTATCTGAAGGTCAATAAATCTTGTATTATTTGGATGTGGGTCTTCTTATATTTATTCTAAAACACTGTTGCTATAAAATTGAACTGTATTGATTAATGAGAATTTGTGTGGATTAGCACTCCTTACATCTTTATACAGCTTGTGTAAATAATAAGAAGTCTGCTGCCATATGGAGAAAACACCCCAACAGCACAAACCTTGTGTGACAGGTAGTGGCAGTCTGAACTGTAGGCACAAAAACTGTACCTGCATCGTTTTTCTACAGTAGCCCAGGAGAAATAAAACCTGATCCTGAGGTGTTCTCATTTGCAAGGTCTTCCAAGGGTGAGCTTTGTGTTGCTCCTCCTGTGCATTTTAAAATGCTGGCGAACACAACCACTTCTTCATTTAATAGACTTCCATAGTGTTCACACTTTCACAAAATACAGAGCCAAGATTTTATTTTGGTAGATTTTATTTTTTTGTTGTTGTTTTTGTGAGCGGACACCTATTCCAATAACATCCCGCAGACACTTCTGGCAGAAAAATGAACGTCGCAACACATTTCTGAAAGCCCTGGAGATCTGATGTCTGAGAGAAAAATCTAGTTTCTCCACAGGTTTAAACTGATACTTTCATACAATATTGTGGGTTTGCTCAACTGTCAGTTCCCAAAACTATGCTGTACAGTATATAATCTGTGCCACAACCTCAATTTAAAAATCACTGTTGATTAATATTTTTCATTAGAGCGTTTCAAAAAAAATTGAGCTGGTCAGATATTTATTGCATATCTGAAATCTCATCAGTATTTAGTTAATACCAAAATAGCTAGAGCAGTTTCTGAATGCATAATCTGTCACCAGCAATTCTTGATGTGTTCCAACTTCAATTTCTGAGAAAAGTGGACAGAACGTTACCTGAAACATCTTTCTAAATGTACATCTGTAATGGACCGTATTAAAATATATGGTGTAAAAGTATTGCTGTACTAAAATGTATATACTGGAAATACAATACAAATAAAATATCTTAATTAAAAATATAAATGCCACGAAAAAGTGTTTCAGGAGCTTTTAATATGGGTACTTTTCAAAATGCATTATGTTCTTCATGTAACAACACTTAAATGCTGTGGAAAAAAAAGAATAAATCTAAAAAAAAGATGTGAAACTGTTCTGGATACAATTGACTGTGGCACAGAAGTGTCTAAAATTTCAAGGTTTTATACTTTACTAATCTGGTAGTTAGATAGCTCATATGCCACTTCTAATTTGAATAAGATTGACCAACCTTTGAAAAAAGGCCTGTATTGGTTTCAACCAGATGAATAGGCAGGGCACAGTAATTTTTAAGAGTTGTCATTTTGAAAATCTTTAATTTTGCATTGGAGATAAAGGGGTTTCGTATATAAAATTAAAAATTAAGGTGCAGTTGATTTAGTATGAATTATTGAATAAACATTTTAAACGTTGACAATAATGAACAGTATATTTCTTTGCAAAAAAATATATATGCGAAGTTCTAGACATTATTTTTTAATTGCTGGTCTAAATCCCCTGTAATCAATAGAAACTGATCACACATATTCTTTACCAGGAGACACAGCTGTCGAGCTGTGGGATTGTGCACAGCTGCTGTTTCAGACGTTATTAATTTCATATCCAGAAACCTTCAGTTGTTTCCTCACTGTTTCTTAATCAAGGCTCCATAGTCCCCAGCTAGGTTTGGCCCATTAGGGTTGTTAATGGGAAAACAAAGAAAAAATGAAACTTTTTATTGTCTTCAGTCGCATGTGGAATGCTGGGGAGTACTAAAACATGCATCTATTTTTTATTAGCTTGATAATAGTGGCAGAAATTACATTAGAATCATACACGGATTTATTCTTCTATGGATACAGTTCAACCGAATGGACAAAACATCCTGTCTCTGCTCAATTAAAATTAATTTCTGAATTTTGAGGGGGGGTGGTCACTTTTAGCTCAGTTGTAAAATGAAAATGTGTCTCACAGCCCACGTAAAAAGGCACATTAATGTTCATGGTGAGAATAATTTCAATTCCATTTTGTGTATGAATTTAAATTTAGAGCATTTCTGGATGAATGGAATAAGCCCCTGGTTTTAGGAGCACATATTTTATTTTACAAACTGAACTATTGTTAAGAGACAGTAGTCCTAAATTCAGGTTTTCCCTCTGCTGTTTGTTTTAACTAGACAGGCTGTTTCTCTTCAGTTAGAAACTCCACTGAGATCCTGGCATGACACTTTGCTGAACTTGCAAGTTGTTCAAGTTTCGAGAGCATGTCTTTTTGAGCTGATTAATCTGTGTTTGGTGTAGAGTTGAAAAGGAGCAGCAGATTATTATTTGGGAATAGGGTTAGATTCCCTATTTTAAGATGTCTAAAATATTTAAGATTTTAAAATGTTGAGGTTTGGTTTTGATTGGTGAGTGAGGTGAACAAGACGACATCCCAACAATTCCAGAATGGAGAGCATTTCTGCTTTTTGCAAAATAGGCAAGTGCTGATGTATTTCCTTTGTTATTAACTCTCCACAAAGATACTGGTGCAATTTTTCTTTTAATTCTAATTGTAGAAATTACCTCTTTTGTAATTCCCATCTTCTGCTTTAATTCAATTAGCTGATGCTATCAGCGGTAGTCTAAATTAATTTAGTAAAAGATTATACTTTTTAAACCTTAGCTTTGATTAGCCCTGGGGTGATGCTGAGATGCATTGCTTACAAATGTGTTTATTAATTTATTTTTAAATTAGAATTAGTGATTAGGTTTGACTTTTATACCCCATTGTGAACCATTAATTGATATTCAGCTTTCTCTATATATAAGTTGACAATAATTGGTTTTAATCATTTAAAAAATTCTTCTCACCAACAGAAAAAAAAGTACAAATTGAAAAACATTTAAATTGAATAGGTTTGACACTGGAGAAAAATATAATGCATTGTGAATAATATGCTATAATATAAATAAGATACTAATGCGTAAAGGGTTAATATTAGTTTGCCATCACATGCCCCTAATTCAAGAATTACATTATTATTTTCTAAAAATTAGAGGTTCAAAGAACATGTCTCTAATATTTTAATTTTTGACAAGGCACAATCATTTTCGGTCTAGAAACAAAATTAAAACAGCCGGCTCTAATTAATATTTTGATTCCTTTTATGTTCTTTATATATTAGAGGAAGATAGACACTTCATTCTTCATCATACCTCATCTCTGCAACAACAGACCCGGTGATTAATGTTGCGGAAAAACAAACAGGAGAATTGCAGTCAGAAGTTTTACCTCATGGAGCCTCTACAAAGAGATCTCTGTGGAGTATTTGTCTCTTTCTTTTGTTTGTAATCCACCATATCAGCAGAGTTTAGTGCTTATGGGAATTGGGGAGGGCGGCAGTTCAGGCAGCCTGCATTATTGTATTGTATGCTTTCCACAGTCCTAAACAATTACTGTTCAATAGCGATAATTCTGTAGTCTCTGCATAATACAAGTCAAGAATGGCATTAGCAGCTTAAGGATACACATGCTTTGTAATGTTATCCCTCAAGGGACTGTAAGCTTTTTTTTGTTAGCTACTTTGCTTATTATTGGTCATTCTTATTTGTATAGATGAATTAAAAATTCTTACACGTAGTCATTGTACGAATCTGACACTATGCAGTTTTGTTTTCTTTTTTTCAGTTTGCTTAAATATATTGTTTTTTTTTAAATAAGTATCTATGTAAAGCAAAGGGTTTTGACTCCAGTGCAGTATTAGGGTTTGAAGGATTTCAGGGATTTTTTGTCCATTCGTTTCCTTGTGATGTAATTTGTATTTGGCGATTTAATGAGAGCACTTACAATAATAACGCCGACTTATTTGTGAAACAATATCAGATGTTTTAGCCTTGGACACACCTCTGGCAGGTCATTAACATAAGAGAGTGAAGATCAGAGGGTCCATTACTGATTCATGACAGACTCCCATCTTCTTTCCTCAAGAAAAACACAATATTGTAGTATTGTATATTGTTTATTTCTGTTGTTCACATAAACGTTATATCTGGTGTGGATATTAAAAGCCAATATTTTCAAGAGACAAATCTTATTTAAACCGACTAAAGCTACACTACCTTTATCCTGTGAGAGCGTTTTCTTTAGCAAAGACATTTCTGATCAATGTTTAGGCTTGCAGCCAAAACTAGTGGTCCTACAACCGAGTCAAGAATTGTTCAGCTACAATGTTTTTAAAAACCGTTGAGAAAACTTTGAGAATGCCAGAAGGTGTTTGGTATGGCAATGCTTGTGAAGTTAGGTTTAGCATGCATACAGTACGTGTTTTAAATACAGGTATCTGTATGTAAGATTTACCTTGGGTTCAATGGTTGTCTTTTTTCATTAACATTGCTTACCATATTAATCTTACCCAATATAAATCATTGTTATGATCTGAAATGTCAATTACAGTACAGTATAATTATACACATACCCAGGTTGACAGTTCTAAACAAGAAAAGGTTAGTAGGTACAAATTGTTATAGTGCAAGAAATGTGTATAAACAGATTGAGACTCTGTCTCTTGTCTCATCTCCTGCTTGTTGTAATAATGTTTGCATTTGGTGAATAAGAATAACTAAAACAAGTTGCAGTACGTTCAAAATTTAACTCTTTAGTCTCCTTCAAGTCTCTGTATTACTCCTGTTTTATAATCTTTACAAGGCTTCCAATTAAAATTTAAATTATTTTTATTTTGAATGTATCTGTCTGTCTGAACCAGTATTTGTTTGTAACCTTTAATCCACTGATTCTGATATTCTGTGCTATCCTGTGAGAAGACATAGGACTGCATAGGAGGCAGTTCATTCTGTTTTTTGGCACCCCTAAACTTTGGAACTCTATTTCCTTCCAAATGTATCGCTGTGTTTCCTTTATTTCTTTTAAATCCTCATTTGAAACCTCTTGAAAAAAGCATTTTCTAAGATTTATTTTTCATGTTATGAACATTATGTAGGCTGCAATTTTACCGTGTCTGTAGCTTGTTTTCGATGTACAGCATTTTGAAGTATCATTTGAAAGGTGTATTGTGAAAGAACTATTTTTGCTTTAGTAGAAAAGCAAGTGTGTAAAATGAAGCTGAAAATGGAACAAAAGCGTCATTTACTCATTTTTGTTGCATATAATTCTGGTTAAACCTGTCTTGGAACTCTGACATCCTTTAGTGCTCTAAAGCAGAGAACACTGAAACTTCTGCTTTTCAGTTTTCTAATATTTTATGATTCCATGGTTTGTGGGCTTTGTGATAGTGTTTCACATCTGTGTAATGAAAACTGAATGCATTCTGTAGATCCAGCATTTCACATTTTTCCTGCTACGCTCTTCATGTGAAAATCAGTATTGTTGTCTTTGATTTATCCGGGTTATTAGGTGACTTTGTACTCCTTGGCTTTCAGGTCCCTGGACTGTTCGCAACAGCAGTATTGACACAGGCAATCTGGAAGTGGGGCGTCGAGTGACCCAGGAAGTTCCTCCAGGAGTCTTTTGGAGGTCATTGCTGCACCTGGACCAACCTCAGTTCCTTAAATTCAACATCTCCCTGGGAAAAGACGCTCTTTTTGGAGTCTACATCCGCAAAGGATTGCCACCCTCTCATGCCCAGGTTAAATAAAACCCGATTAACATGCTGTAGCTATAGTAATTGCTCCTATACTAAATCTACAGTTACTTAACAGGATAGTTGTGGACATTAAGATATAGTTATAACAATTCAAGCTATATACTCTACTGCATGTGTCAGGCTAGCTACAGTAAGTTACATATAAAAGAAAGTTAACACACCTTCAGTAAAAGTTGGCTTTTAATGCCCATTTCTGATTGTACAACACCACAATAATGTCTAAGACAAACAGAAATCTCTCTTTGCTTCCCTGTCTTTTTCCAATCACTGTATCTGTAGCAAACAGCTGGGGATCGAGTTGTCTTTTTTAGCTTGAGTGCAGCTTGAGAGTCTGGTGAACTTCTAAGATTGCCAAGGAGACCTTGAAGTCAAGGTCCCCTGCTGGATGAGTGGAATGATGATATCGAGACACTTTGTACCTATAAAGCTGCTGGCAGCTGTTTTTTGAACCAAGTGGAGTTGACTAAGTGTACAGCCAAGCAGACCAGCTAGAACTGTGCTTGTCAAGTCAAGGCAGAGTAAAGGACTACACTAGAACAAAGACCAGAGCTACTGCAAAAAATGGTGAAGATTTTTTGTTGTGAATTTGTGATGTTATATATGGTTGAACTGTACATCTAAGCTTTGTTTCATGCCTGAAACAAGAGCACAGGGAAAGTGTGTTTTTAAAGTATTGGTCAAAGGCAGATTCAAAGAGAAAAAAATCAGTTCACAGAATGCAGAGGAAGTACTGTACTTTGAGGTCATGTTCAAATATTTAGACTTAAATAAAAGCCAGCTTGCATTTCATGGTCCTTTTGGTTCTGTTCAGCCTTCAATCTTGAACATTGAAGAATTCTACTTTGCAGCTTGTCTAATGTTTCTCTTACACTCTGAAAGCATCTCCCAAAAACTATTGTTTAAAAAATATTTTTTTTTCTTTTTGATTCCAGTGTAGATAAATATTGAATTATCAATCCATTATTAAAATTGGTGAAAGCCATTTCTGTCACGAAACAGAACCCCGCTAAATTAATGGTGTAAAGGCATCAAATTATCTAGTGTGAACTGGCGTTTCACTCTGTGACTTGTATGTGGCTTAGGGTCAGATAATTGCAGAGTAATGGCTCCCGGTTTGTCGATTGTGTGGGCAGTATGACTATATGGAACGCCTGGATGGGAAGGAGAAGTGGAGCGTTGTGGAGTCCCCTCGAGAGCGTCGCAGCATCCAGACAGTAGTTCTCAACGAGGCTGTGTTTGTGCAGTACCTGGACCCTGGCACCTGGCACCTGGCCTTCTACAATGATGGCAAAGACAAGGAATCAGTCTCCTTTAGCACTGCTATCCTAGGTAAGGTGTCTGCTACTCCCTGTACTGTAGGTATATTGGTCACACTTTAAAAGCAACAGGCAATTTCTTTAGTGTTTTCCTACAAGTAGACTGAAGCCAAAAAAGCATTATGAAAACTGACCTCAAGAAGAATTGCTGTTTCACCATTGTTGCTGTATTATCGAGTAATTTAATATAATTCAAAGCTCATATGCATGAAGCTTAACATCTCTCATGCACAGAAGTGAGGCCACCTGTATAAAAGCAGAAATGTTTCTGTTGGTATATCACCTACTGTAACTAATGCATTTTAGAACTATGAGATATACAGTACCATTTTTCATACCTGTCCATTTTCATCTTAGAAAGTGGGTTATAGGTTGGAAAATGTTCAATTACCTGTAATAAATACCTGTATTTATGGCTGACACAGAAATTTATAAAGTTTTAGTTATTTGCAAAGGGTGAATCATCACGTAAGGGCAAAAAGACATAATGATGATTGATTGTAGTATTTTTTCCTGTAACAACAGGAAAAAAATAAGGCTCTTTTTAATACTTTTATCTGTACTCAACTGTTGACATGGTCTTTTCGAATGGTAAAATTAGCTAATCCTTACAAACAGCAACCTGAGATTTCTCAAGGAGAAAAAAAAGGAAATGAAGCTGTTATTTTCCAAAGTAAATCATTTCATCTTTAAGCCTGATTTTATTTACTTAGGGTTAAAAATAATAGTCAAGGACAAAAGCATTGTAGTTCAAAGAAAAAGGATATATATTGTGATAATTAAGTTACCACATAGGATTGATTCTGCTAAGATGGTACCCATTATTAAGAAAAAAACACTTATTTTGCAAATAACAATGTGGCAAAAATACCTATATTAGTCACTGTTCATTTTCTTCATAAATGGATTTGATTACCAGTGAGTTATTTACCCATGTAAAACTCTGCATGCTAATTTAAGTAAACATGACATCCCAGGATTCTGAATTGTGGGCTTAAAAAAAGCTGTTCTGTTTTTACACAACTTTGAATCTGTAATCTTCAGTTCAAATCTCAGATTTGTTTTTCTCTTCTAGGAAGCTTGTAGAGAGATTAAAGTTATTGCTTTTGGTATAAAAGAACAAAAAAATAGCAGACACAAAATCAATCATGCAGATTAAAAACAAAGATCTCAAAGACAGGGTCTAAGGTTAAAAAAAGGGAAAAACATGGTTTAATCCTTTCCCTCTCCACACATTTTGTGATTTTTTTTTCTTTAAGCGTTGGTGCTCAGTTGTCAAATTGAATGAGCAGTTGACAGCCCTAATACTTTCTGCACTTTGGCATGTCTGTGTAACCAGCTCAGCGCTGTGCAGCAGAGCATAATCTTTGACAACATTTAAATTTGCAAGAGCTATCCCATAAAGTGTAGATGAGCATAGTAGTTTCACTTATGTTTGTTCCATTTACATGTATGCCTGTGTACCTATTCATATTATTTTATATCATAAATAGCAATATATGCATATACAGTGCCTTGCGAAAGTATTCGGCCCCCTTGAACTTTTCAACCTTTTGC